ATTAGGTAGTCTGGAATTAATGTTTAAGACTCCAAAAAGACCTGTAAGTCATAGCAGCACATTTTCAAGTTTGCTGACAATTTCAAGGTAAATTAATTTTCTGTATTTTAAGTTCTGCACAAAGATACACTGCAGGAAAACCAATGTTGCTATGCACTGGGTAAGGGCTGTACACTGTGTACTTCACAAGCTAATTCAGCACATGGATTTCTCAAGCACAATAGGTTAGAATGTAAAAACAGCCCACACACTGCAGCTGAATGACTCACCTTTTTTTCCTTTTCATTCAGTCTGTCAATTTAGATGTTGTAGACATGTCTTTTCATGGTAAGTGAAACCCTAAAGAGCCTTACAATGATAATTGCAACAGGTTATACCATATAAGTTAGAGAAGTACTGGTTTCAAAGCTGGCCTAAGAAAATACACGTACAGTTAAATGTACTGTACTTGGCAAACTAAACACAACACATCTGTAACTGACAAATGTGAGAAGCAGTTCAGTACTGAAGAACAGGGCTTTAGGGATAGTTGGAGTTACTGTGGCTGTTGCACATCTGACTGTTTTCACTAACACAACATAGAGAAGGAGCTGAAAAAAGAAGCTACCTAGTTGTTTCCTTGCCTGTCCTGGAAATCACCGATGAGATTATGTGATACCTAGGTGCCAGTGCTCAAAGGTTATTCACTCATTTCAACAAAAAATGGATTCTGTGTTACCTGTTTTATGTCAGGAGATTTTTAAACTCTGCTATACTGTGGTCATAGTTGAAGAACGCTGTTTTGGTCCACAAAGTACTTCATTTATTATATATCTGTGAGTTATTGTACTTTTCTAAAGATCATCCCATACCTGGTCTTGAATAGGCGGTATTTGATGAGCTTCAACATCTTCCACCTGCTCATGTTTCCTGCAGGCTAACTGCCCTAACTTTGAGTACATGCTGTGGTTCGAGGCGCTGCTGTTTTATGGCTGTGAGGAGCAATCTAACTTGCCAAAGGGGGATGTGGACATCAATCTTCTGCCGTCAATCGTGGAAAGAGTCATACTCCCCAAACTTGCAGGTGAGCTGGAATCCAAGTTCATCTTGACAAGAAAGAACAAGGCAGATGCATTAATATAGTTTTCAGGATTTGTATTGTCTAAATGTAATCTCTTGTGCTTCAAGCAATCTTTAAATGTTAAGGGAAGTGCTTATTGCGTCTATATGCAAGAATTTCCCCAACAGATTGATTTAAAAAATTGGTTAAAAATATGACTTGAGTGGTCCCGTTCTTGGGTCTAAAGTGAAGCTCCGACAAAACCAAAGCTTAAATCCCCATTCAGTGTGCTGATCTGCAGAAACAGTGGTAATCAGTTCTCCTTTCATAAGGCAACTTTACTAGAGGGTTTTTAATAGTTCATTGCTCACTAAAAATTACTAGGTGGGTTCATGAAATTATGTAAATTTTGCAGCTTTTGTCCTGGGAACATTAATGAACAGAATCATTTTACAAAATCTGAGGTGTAAAATGACACATCTTTTACAACATCTTCAGTATAAAAATCTCTAGTGGCTTCATTAGAATTTGTGTTTTTGATGACGAAGCTGTATTTTAGAAATCGGGGATCCAGAGTTTCAGGGGGCTTTATCTTAGTAACTAAAATAACAAAGCAGTCATGAAGTTTGACTATTAACATTCAACCGGTGGCTATTTTATGCTGCTATAATCTTGGATGATCGGATGTGGTCATCTGACCTTGACAGCTTAATTTGACCTCTCTCTTATCCCTGGATTTGTTCTTGCTTTCCTTCAGTACTTGCAGACCAGGTGTGGGATCCCTTCTCCACTAATCAGACGACAAGGCTCGTAGTCTTCATGCACAAGCTGATCAAGGGCTATCCCACAGTCCTTCACGGGGAAAACCGGAACACACAGGTGCCTTGTCATGTACTACACTCTATAAACAGTGAAGGAGATTGAGAGAGAGAGGTTATGAAGGAGAAACCATGTGGGCTAGCAAAAAGCTTACCTATTCAGAGATTCTTGTACACAAGTACTGTTCTGAGCATTGGAAGATTTGGGGCAGGGCAGCTCTTATCTAGAGGAAAGGTTTAAAATTCAGATGAAGAGAAAAAACTATCGGAAGAAAGAAAAGGCCATTTTAGAATTATTTTAGACAATCTTTAAGTGTAATGTGATGAATACTGGATTGATAAAAATGTTAATTTCGAGTTTACAGTCTTATGTATATGATAGTATTAATGTTCCTGTTTGTTTTGTAACATTGAAGGCCCGTAGATGTATAATTTACAGTAGGTCCCAGTTATGAATATTATGTTTTTTTTTTAAGTAAGTAATAAACTTTGCAATGAGGCTTATATAGCTCATTTAGTGTTTACATTTGCCATCGTTTTTTGTTCATTGCTATCTGTGCTGGCATGTACTTACTGTCGAATTTACCAAGGGGACTGACTTTCTACCCAGACCTTGTTTGGTTTGCTCTGGATATAGTTGGCTGCAGTAAGTAAATATACAAACAATGAAGACGAAGTTCACAGAAGGAACTGTTTCAGTTAAAACATTTGTTAAGTGACCTACCTTATGTGGCTCCTTATGTACATTATAAACACTTAAAACACTTCTTTTCACCTGGAATGATTTGTTACAAGTGGAAACTGTACGGAGAAGTTGTATTAGTTTTTTTTTTCAACATAGACATTTGGAAATTCTATAATAGAAAAAAAGCCTTTTGTCTTTTACAAAAGAAACCTGTCCACCATTTTAATTTAGCACAGTGTCTTGTTAATCAGTGTTTAAAATTATATAAACATTCTGAGGGAATGTTTTCTTTGAGTCAAAAACTAAGTAACATCTCAAAAATAGGGCACCCACTCGTAAACATCTAGCAGAAATTAAGACTCTTTGGGAACAATCTAGAGGATTTTCTGTTCTTTTGCAGTTCTAGCAAGAAGATGGTGTTGATTTTTGAGGTGTTAAAGTTTAATTACTATATCAACTTCATCTAGATGATGATTAACCACATGAATTCCTAATGGCACTGCAGTCAAATAAGGACCCATGTGTTAACCTCGGACATAAAGCACTGTTTCAGTGAAGATCTTCTTTCAGATGAAGGTCATAGTGGAATGTGGATAGGGGGAGGACTCTGCACTCATAACTGGAAAGTGTAACTTCTGCGTATTCAAGTCTCATATGGGTGATGCTTTTTTTGTACGCTTGAGCAAAGTTCTTTACTTGGATTGCTCTAGTAAAATGTCCAGCTGTGTAATTGGGTACAAATGTACGTTTCTTTGGATGAAAGCATCAGTCAAGTAATAGTAGAGTTTTAGGGGAAAGCTTAATCAAATGGACTGCAACGAAAAGAGTTTGTCATACCATTCAACACGGTGTAATTATCCTTGCTGTGTGCTTCCAGGAATTCTAAATTGCTTTTTCTTATTAGGAGCTGCTGAAAACTATAGTCATGCGGACAAGAAGAACTCTAGATAATGATGTTTTCATGCCTCTGTACCCGAAAAAGTAAGTTATGGTCGTGGCTCTTTTCATTATGAAGTTCTATGCCCAGTTTATTGCCAGTAACCTGGACTGAACTAATATCAGCATTTGAATTTTGATGCTGGACTGTCAATTGGAGGTTGAAAGAAAGTAATTGTCTAGCAGATGTAAAGTGCTGCTGTTCTTTTCACTAACTCGGGTTCAAATGAGTAAGATGGTCAGTACATTGTGTTGTGTTGCAGGTTGCTATTGATTCCTGCAGCCCTGTTTTTTATAATATTAAATAAAGACAGTATCCTCCTACCTGTCCACTAACTACTGATATACGCATGGCCATTTCAGGATAGCTGACATAATTTCACGAAACCCCTCAATAAAGCTTTTTTTGTTAATACATCAAAGGAGACTGAAAGCTATACATTTTAAAAGGGCTGCTGTTAATAAAATATTCACTGTAAAACTGTAGGCTAGCAGATCACTTCTCAGAACTATCAAAGCAGAGCAGATCTGCCGTGAGTAATTTTGCACAGTACTAAACTAAAGATGAAAGTCTGTTTGATTGGTGTTCACCTGGGTAGTATTTGAAGACTTCCAGGAATCTCTGTACTCTAATGGTCATGGGATATTATTTAAAATGTTTCTAAGGGATTATTACTTGACAGTTCTTAATTATGCTCTTTAGTTGTTCTCCTTTATTTTGACCAATACACTTATTGTGCAGTTTCCATGCCAACACTAAGGAGCCAGAAATATCCTTGTTATAGTAAATTTTGTATTTACCTAAGCAGTTACGTTAATGAATGCTGAAAACATTTAGTTTACTATAAACCTGTTTATTTTGTTGGAGTTCCATTAATGTTCAGTGTTTTTTTTTACAGTAGGGTATGAGATAGATTGGCTGAGATCTAGCTGGTCCTGGTCTGCTTTCCCTAAAAGAGGCATTGAAAATGAGCCAGTGGTCTGCCCTTTCAAAAAGATATTTGGCTACCTAGATGAGACAATGATATAAACGACAAATTTATTTTTACTTTGGTCTGCTTTTTTTTTAATGTTGCCTTACTAGAAATAGTCAATTTATGTCTGGACTGGGTTGTACAAGTATGCTCAAATCATGAAGTACACTGACAATCTACTGTGTCTTTCAGAAGTCAAGCATGAATATAATTTGACAGTTTCATTTCTCATGATTAAATGTAGCTGTTTAGGAAACAATCCTGTTTTTTTATTCATTATTAAAAAAAAACATTTACTATAACTGAAAGTTGAACCTCTTCATAAGCCGCCACAAAAAATAGAGCACCTGGTGTTGATGAAAAGATTAAATTGAGTGCAACAGACAAATTGTTTGCCTGTTTTTAATGGAAGAGTCATTTGTTTATTGACTGTGTCCACACTTTAACTGGAAATGAATGTTTTTTGACATGCAGTGTACTGGAGAACAAGAACTCTGGACCGTATTTGTTTTTCCAGCGTCAGTTCTGGTCTTGTGTGAAGGTGAGTAAGCAGGTACTAGTTAGCTAGTGGTTCCTTTGTAATCGTACTTAAATTTAGTGGAGAATATTATCTTTTTTGTACTCAGTGTCCTTCAGCATGTTTTTTTTTCTTGTGTGGAATGCCAAATTGAAATGTGACCCTACAACAACTTACATATATCAACCAAGCAAAAAGAATTTTCAAAAGCAGTATGGCTTTAAAAACTGTGCTGCTGTGAGATGCCAGCAAGCTTTGGAGTTTTTTAGCAAGGTCTGAGATAGCACCCCATGCTCTCGACCGTGAGCAATATCCCACATTGAGTTTGAATTCCAAGCAAAACTAGTTTTGTTTTGTACACTCTTAAGTTGGTAATAAATACTAAAATGACAAATACTACAAGTTTCTTTTTTTCAGTTTGTATTTCGACTGTTCATTCTTGAACACTTAGCATAGAAGGATAGTTGAAGATACAGCTGTGAAATCAGGACTAGAATTCACAGCTGTATCTAGTCCTGTTTGGACAGTATGCAAAGAAACGTTGGTCACTGTTTAACATTTTGGAATAATGTTTGCTTGAAAGCCCAAGTGAAGCAGTGAGGCATTTACCTGTGATTACAAGGGATGTTCTGTATAGTAAAATGCCTTGGGATATTGTTGCAGGTGTGACATTAAAGAAATATTTGCAATCTAGGTGGGTGGTCTACGGCATTATTTAGCGAGCTGTTCATCTCTGACTAACTTGGCTAGTTACACAATCTCCAGAATGTGTAGGCACAGTTTGTGTCTGGGAGGTATAGTCTTAAGTGTTGTTTTTTTTCCACTTAGCTGTTGGGGAACATTCTTCAGTGGCATGGAGTACTGTCCAACACGAGCCTTAGGGAGCTGGCAGTGGACAGCATGTTGAATCGCTACATCCTCTCAGCCCTTCAGAGCACAGACCCCGGAGAGGACAGCATTGAGAAAACCCAGAGTGTAAGATCGGGATTTATTAATTAGCAAATTGATGTTTTGCTGGCTACATGTATGATTTTAAATAGTTTACATATGCTGTAAATTGTATAACCCCGACACAGTCCTGTCAGTAATTGTGGCACTAAAGTATTCTAAAATTTCACCAGGATTGACACCAAATTACCTCTACACCTGTGACTACCTTTGTCACTAATGAGGCATTTGAATGCTTTTACAGCAGTCATTTGCCACTCAAGTGTATCACTATCAATCACAAACGATCAATTGATAAGAACACTGCCAGAAACATTTTGCAATATCCAACATTCATCTAGTCTATTTTTGTAAAACCTTATAGAAATAGTGATATTTCCATTAAGGAAGATACTGTATCTTCTTATTAGATTAGATTATTCTTTATTGCCAAGTAGTATTTGAGTAGTGCGAGTAGTTCTCCAAGCTTATTAATATGCTCAAGCTTAATAAACACTTGCATTAAATACTGTAAAAACATACTGATAAGTATATTTTACAGCTTGGCAAATACTGGGAAATGCTGACTTGCCAGTGACAGTATAAAGTAATGTATCAAGCAATGAATGGCCACAAGCTTATTGGAAGATGCCAAGTATAGTCATTTATCCTAATATTTGCCCAACCATGACCTTTACTCATGTTTTCTGTATATTTGCAGGTCATCAGCTGCTTCCCAAAGCAGTGGTTTACAAGCTTGAAGGGACAACAGACTCTCCCTCAGTTAGAAAACGTCTGCCGATATCTCAAGCATGTTGCCAACACAGTGTATCGTTTGAGTCTTGGGGGCTCTGATGTTGACAAGCGAAATGCAAGGTAAACATCTGGGTTATCCCCCATGTATCTGGGGATTAAAAATAATGTTTTTTGCACATTGGTGAATAGCCTTATTTGTGCTAAAGAGGACCAATACATAAAATAATACTAGAAACTGTCTAGTATTACTGTCTCAGTTAATACATAGTAACATTCAACTGAGGGACACCATACATTCATACCTGGTAGTGGTACAATTTGGATCATTTCTTAAACATAAGCCTCATAATGCCTTCTTCTACAGCAGATTGTTCTTTTTTTTATCCCTGAAATGATCAGGGTCTCGTTTCCTTTATGGGATTGCATCTGTGATGCCTTATTTGAGACAATCTGTTTTGTGTTATAATGTCAGCATACAATGTGACTTTCTGTGGCATTCTTACAGCTAACTTAAAAAATACATTAAGACAATATGTTAAAGGATTATTTCAGTTTGTTTGAAAGTTTTGTGTTCAGGTTTAGATGAAATAAAAAGGAGCATATACAGCACAGGTTCACAAAGAAGATGGTATGTAGCACTAGCTTATTATAGAAACATGGTGTCTCTATAGTAGAGGCTGTGTGGTTGATGTGCGTAAATTCCAACACATCTGATCAACACTGCAGAGGCTTGCTGTAGCCTGAAAAAGCTCAAACTCAAATAATTTCTTCCTTTGTCAGTGGCATGATGTCAGAAGTGTTCCTTATTATGCTCCCTGTGCTAGTTAACACCTCAGCAAAAGTCTGAAGAAAAGCAGTGTTAATTCAAATGTGATGTGTGCACCTGTTACAACCCCGCAAGTGTTCTTCAATATCTGTAGATTGAGAAATGAATCGGATTGCAATTGTAAATGTTGCGTTTATGCTTGCTTTAAAGCATTATCATACATTGCTTTCAGTCAGTATGGGCACGTTGTAACCTTTTTATGTTTTCATCATATTTACACTTCCCTCTTATTTTTGTTTTTGATTCATGTCTGTTCTGAATATATCCAGTATTTCGTGTTCTGTGTTTATGATATCTCATCTCGTGGAAAATACATTGATATTTTAACTTACTTTCATAGGGATCATATAAAGGAAGTAGTGAAGCTCCTGGGAAGTATCAATGCTCTGGATCACGCGATGGCTGTCTCCACCGAACACGGAATAAAAGACTTTAAGGCTTTACTAGATGGAAAATGAGAAGTTGGTGGATTCTCCTAAGCCTTATTTGTATTTGGTGTATATAATGTGAATATGTGTAAAAACTTGGAGCACTATTAAAAATTGTTTTAAACAGACTTAAGTACCATAGACACATTTTATATTGTTAAGTTGAATGTGAATCAGGATCTGGCTTTGTACCTGGAAGACAACAAGAAATGGATGGAAGGAAAAGTTGTCTATTTAAAAATGGAGAGTTTTGAATAAACAAAATCACTTGGTTCAGTCTGAAGCTTCTCTTTGGCAGGGCCTAGAAAGCTTTAAGCACCAGGGCAATGTGGAACCTTGGTCACTTAATAAGGACACTGGCACTTTGAGAAGGACCAGCACTTTGTTGGTTGCTCAGTTCACCAGGTCATCAGCACAGTTTAATCTTCATACTCTTGAGTCTAACAAAGGACCAGGTATCGGTAAATGGGCTTGACTCCAGGCCTGTGCCACTGTACATGGCTATTGCACATCCCAGGCTGTGACCCTGGTCATACAACCAGCGTTTTAAAACTGAGGAATTAACAGACTGTGCAAATGAGTTGCATGTCCCTGTGCCACCTGAAGACATACAATAATTTAAATAGGAATCCACAATTGTTTTGTAGTAGTTTGTGTTACCAGGATTTGTATAATCTTCAAGCATGCCAGATCCCTTGAACAGTATTCATCCGTTTCAAATTCACTGAAATTTGTGCCATAACGTTTTTGTTTTTTTAATGATTGGGAATTTTCATTTTAATTTTCCGTTTGTGAATGTTTTACTGGCCTGTTGAATAAAAAAATTTGCCCAATGAAAAATGTTCCTTGTATCAGAAAAACTGTCATCTTGTGTAGTGTGTACATAGCTCAATTCTGAGCAGGTGTTAATGAATTTTGAGTTCAGATTTAATTTGCATTAGGCGGATATGTTTTCAAGCATTCAAAGCAGTTTTAAGAATTTGAAGGACAGAATAAGAGCAGCCCAATCTACTCAGTACTGTATGTATAATGGCACAGGAGGGTGTAAGCTAAATCCAAATACATACATAATTCCTCATTCATCAGGCTGGTTCAAAACAGTTTCAACATATGTGTGCTCTGCTAAATGACATTCCTTCTTTTCTATCATGAATGATCCCTACCTACATGCTTACTATGGACATTTTCACTATACATTTCACTACAAGCATTGCACATCTAATATGCTGCCTCACTGCTATATTTTTATAGAAATTTTTTATAGTTTTTTATATTTATTTTTTGGATATGTTGGAAGTCACTTTGAGTAAGGGCACCTGCTAAGCAATTAGCTGTTTCAAGTGTGATGCATTTCATGATTAAAAAATATTCTTACATGTATTTAAAAAATATTTCCATTTGTATGCGAGTGTGGGACTGGATGATGTGGTTTTTAAGATGCTGAATCTAGTGCCCGCAAGTTAAGTCCCTATTGTAGACATAACAGTTTCTTCTTTGTTGTACTATTACTTTAACTTAACATACCTTCAGTCAACCCAGCTCCCACTCAATTGACAAACTACCTATGCCTTCCCCCGGATCCAGTCACTGGGGCTAGTGCATTTTGTCAAGAGTCTCCACACTTGAGAGCCTCCTCAGATTTCACCTCTCTGCGTCAAGCACTAAACCCATTTGTTAAGAGTGCTGATTAAAGCCAGCTGGTTGTCACTGGGTTTCTCCAAGTGGCACAGCTGGCCCAAAAAAAAGGTGTGAAAAAACACTCAGGGCATTTGTTCGCGAGTGACTTCATTTTGTGAAAACAGAATCCCGTGACTCAGTTATGTCTGTGTGAGACACACTGTGGTTCCTTCATGGTACCAACTGTCCATAAGGCATCACAGAGCTAGCCGCATGTTAAATGCCAAAGCAGTGGTGAAGTGCAGGAGACTCCTCATCCCCCACTCCCTACCCCAGCAGGTGCCGAGGTTGTAGCTGTGAGCCAAGTTAATCGACATTTGGGAATGTTGAACTGGGAGGTTATAAAATAAGGATATGATATTGAAAACTCCAGGTTTTAAAAAAGAAAATGCACCTTCATACTGTGCTTATTGATTCTGTGACCTTATGCCTCGAATGTGACTGCTCTTCACAATACAAGTTTTTAGGTTTTCGAGAGCTATAAAGTTATGTCTGTATTTGTTAACTGGTTAACTGCTTCAGGGGACAGAGTGGACTGATTTCAGATCACTATTGAAGAATCTAATTGGGATGTTGTTCACAATGTTTTTGCACAGTCTGACAACAAATTTCAATTTTCCATTAATGGAATCACTATCCACGTCTCCCATTTTGTCCAGATGCAATTCAAGAAGGACCAAATTTTCCTCTGTAACTTGGATTTTGGATGGAAAACTATTTCTACAACAGGTTCATACAGTATTTGCCCAGGCTTCCCTTCATTGTTGTTAGGCGGTCTTACTATCATGAACCTAATATATGTATTACAAGGAAGACTGTCTTCACTTGAGACCAGTAGAGCAAAACTGGAATACTAGGTTTCTCATTTTAAATCCACCAGACTCCTTTATTGCATAAGTGAACACACTATTTGGTTAATTGGACAAACTGAGGCTTTTTCTTATTCTGTAGAAGCTGGAAACTAATATTATGTGACCTATAAAATCTACTGGCCGTTGGCCCTTAAGAAACAGAGTTGAGCTATCTGATAGCAGCATGGCGATGTCCTAACGGATTGGAGGTTTTATATAAGTAAAAAATACCAGCTATGCTTGATGTTGAGGTGGGGTTAACTACAATGGATTAGCATTTCAGTCAGGGGAACCCATGTACTTTCAACTTAATGCTGCAGAAACCAGGGTCTATAAACCAGCATTTCCCAAGTCTGTTAGTTTACATTCTAACAGAGCCTGATTATTGAATCAATACCTTAATTTAACTAACACATTTGCTTGACTGGAATATTTGTTCAAGTTGTCTTCTGTACCCAAAGTTTTATTTCATTTTACATAAGTAATGAAACAATTGCAAAAACAAGAGCTGAAAACAAACAGTTTAAATGAATCGTATTATTAATTCAAATTAAGATTTCAGTTTTAGAACCAAGAGCTTAACTGGAGCAAAAACCAGCAGGTGTGTGCAAGATTAGGAACCCCTGCTTGAAACCACTTAGGATTTACTTGATGGGTAGTACTTAAAAGCATACTGCATGTGACAGTGTATGCTTTTAATGAAGCGGAAGGCATAAATCACATCTCCCATGATATACAGAAGTATATCCATTCATCTTCTAACCTCTTCTTCCAAATCAGGGTCACAGAGGAGTCAGAACCTATCTTCGCAAGCAGTGTGCTTAAGGCAGGATAGACCCTGAATGGGACATCAGTCCATTTCAGGGAAGACACAGACACATATACACTCACACTTAGGGCAATTTTCCCAGAAGCTAATTATATTACCTGTATGCTTTTGTACTGTGAGAGGAAACTGGAGCACTCCAAAACCAATGCAACATGGGAAGAAAACATACAAACTCCACACAGACAGTTCCCAGCTCTGGAACTGAACCCAGGACCCCAGTCCTGTGAGGCAGCAATTCTAACCACTGCCTGCACCTAGAATTACATTTCATATTTCATATTCATATAAGTGTCACTTGTGAATATGGATTTATACAGATGGGAAGAAGTGTGCAAAAGTGAGTTCTGCACATTAATTATTGAGCTTGATATGCCAAAGTAGTATTCTTTTTGTACTGAGGTCACATTTCATTCTAGAGAGTCATGGGACATTTCTTGATAGTGTGATTGGGGGAATCATATCTTATGAATTTATAGTTAATTCCCCTCCATTTCCTATAAATAGAACATCTTCAAGGTGGACTAAAATATTTGTATCAGCAGTATACTGGGAAATGTAGATGAAAACTGAATTGGCATATTATAGTAAGCATACCAACAGCAAACATGAAAAACTACAGGTGATATTGCTAGTAACTACTAGGTTATTATTTTGGGTTAATTGCAAGAGTGACAATGTTAAAATCCCAAAATAAAACTTGGGCAATTTGCTAAGGACTTTTCATTTTAACTACGTTTGATCTGCAATGTCCACATCGTTATAACCTGAAATGAAAGAGAAAAAAAAATGTCATGTTCATGCCAGTGTCATGTTCATTCGTTTCAAAGTAAATTCCAGAAACTTCCAGAAATGTGCTTTTATTCTGATCACCCCGCCCCCCTTTCAGGTGTACCTTACATCAGAATGATTGAAAACATAGCCAAAGCCAAAACCTTCTTTTAAAGATTTTTCAAACATTTTGTGATAAAGATAACGTTACTATACTGAGCAACCCAATAGGTTACAACTGGATGAAGAAGAATTAACATCTAGCTGATTATGATTTCCTCTTTGAGGTTAATTAAAAAAATACGAGCTTTCTTAAATCGTGTATGTTTTTTTTAATGTAATGGCCAAAGGTAGTGGATATACAGGGTGTCAAACCAACTAAAGTCCCGCGTGTAATCAAAACGTCTTTTAGTATGATCAGGTGTGAACTCCATGTCTGAGGTCTATTTCCGCTTCTTTTAGTCTGTATCATACTTAAGAAAGCAGGGGATATATATTTTCGTTCACGTTGCTTTTGTTAAACTTAATTCTAATATGTTTATGGTACATACTTACCGTATGATTGTACCTGCGAGACTAAGAATATGCAGCTTCTGTAATTTTACGTTTATTTGGATAATCATTTCATTCAGTGCTAGCCAGGTTGCCTGAGGGGGACCTGATATACCTGTAGTACTTAATGGGAACAATCAGATACTGAACTGTGTGCAAACATTTATTTGTAGATAAAACGCTGACAAATTGTTCATGGTTTTATTTTTATTAAATGTATCATGGGATTATTAATAATAAAAATGTATCTTACTCCTTAACCAAGGCGACTTAAAGTACACAATACTGAACTGTAAAAAACACAGGACAACTATGACGACCTGCACAAAACAAAAAGGTTATTATTTATATTTTTTTCCTTTTTATTGCATTTTTGTTCAATTTTTACTGTATTTACCTTGTGCAATATTACACATGTGTAAGTCGACCTTCTTAATGACGTCTGCAAAGCTAATCATATTAGATGTTTTGGAGATATTAATGAGTGTGCAAGTCAAATTTTTGTCGTAGCTCTCGCAGCAAATAGGGATCCGGGGCGGAGCTATAATGTGTTTCAAGCCATAGAGTGAGCAAACCAGACGTAAAAATGCATGAGGCAACCTGATACTATACATTGCATCAGAGACTGAGTACTTCTGGCCACCTGTCAAAACCAGTATAATACAGGGGCTACAGTATATTACTAGATTCACTCAGTACTTCCTTTAGCTGGTCCCTTGAACTTTGGCACTTCGGCGATCGTCTCCTACCGTCTGCATTTCTTCCCAGTGTAGAGCTGCCGCGCAAGGTAGGTGCATCACTCCTTTTCCAAATCGTTACAGCAAAACCTCTTGTTCTTAATTAAGCGCGGGGACCATCGTAAACCCCGCGTTTTTGTGCGTGCCATTATTGTGTGCGTGTGTTTGTTTTACATTAATACATTTCCACATAAGTGGTAGAAAATGTTAGTACGTGATGCGACCACATGGTTTTTAAAGCTGATGCAATACACAAGACAAACGTCAGCTTGACCTGAGATCTTCCCCCTCCGGTTAGTACGTCGTCGCAAATCTGTCAGACGGTGTAGGCCGGTGTATCTTTTAACATGAATTCGTTTATTTTTAGTGGAGCAAAACGTTGCTTAGTGGTAGATTTAATTCTGGTCTGTAGTAGTATTCCTTGTCGTAGCGCTGCTTTTCAGTAATTGTATATATCTAATTTAGCGTGTCCTTAGCCAGGGCTTGTAATGAAGGGCAGAGCAGCACACATTGTGCGTAATTAGCTTGTCCACATGTTCAAGAGTGATGTTAGCTCGGGTTAATGCAGAATAAAACCACAGAAATCATAAAACGAATATAATTCATTGCCACTAATTGCAGCGAAGCGTTAAGATTTACTCTGTTTCGTAGGTTGTTGGTTTCAGACTTGCTTAAAATTTAAAGAAAATGTATGGCTATAGTTACCGGCTACAGAAAGGTTGCGGAAGAAACCAGAAAATGTGCACGATAATGAGCTTAGCAGAAAGGATTTGAAGATGTGAAAGCCGCTGTTTCGATTTGAATTTGCAAAACACCATTAAAGTAAACTAAATAGTGAGTCTAGATATCGGTAACACAAACGGAAACAAAAGTGTACAATCTAGCGAGCTGTGTAAGTACGTAGTAGCAAAAAAAATAAAAACACGATAAATTAAATTTAAATAATTTATGTTTCACTTTCAAATAAATATTATTGTTTACTATAATGGTTTATTATTTTAGTAATGTTTGTTTAGATAGGTTGTTTAGTAAATAATCTTTACTTATCACATTCCAGAGACGTTTGTATCTGCGGTGAATGCTACAGTTTTAGGAACGAGGTGTGTATTTTTTTTTATTTAAAAGGTTACAAGTTGTAAAATAAGGTATTCAATCAGATTTTATTTTTTGGTGCGCGGTGTTGATTATTATATGCATTTCATGACTTATTGTATTGTGGTTTTATTTGTTGACAGCATTTTCTGAAGTCTCTCTCCCGTTGGAGAGTTATTGTAGTGAGACTGTGATGTCTTTATTTTGTCGAGTGAGGTGCACACTTCACAGCCCATGTTTTCACAGTGTTTACATACTGTAGATATCAACCTTTGTTAGTGTGCCTAGCCAGCCATAGGTGTCTAGACAGCTTCCCATCATTTTTAAAAAGGGTCCTGTAGCTTTTTTAAGTGTTCTGTCCCTCCTGATATCTTATGAAACAAGACAATAGTATTACTTAATATTAAAGTTAGGGAATGTGATTAGACATATATATTATTTCCATGAATAAAGTGAGCTTTTGAAACCTGTAGCGCCTAAATAATTTTGGAGTAATAGCAGGGAAATACAAAGAAGGGCTTAATTACTTGCATAAGGGTATGCTTTGCATACTTATTATTTGCTGGGTTATCTCTTTGTAAAGCTGGGTTGGTTTGCTTAACGTTTGCTTGCTTAGCTCATACACAGAGTTTGTGAGTCCTGATGCACACACCCATGCAAGTAGTGTGGGAGTATTTAACAATGCTGTGCTCGTTTTTTAGGACAGTCTTGTTTTAAGTTGGCGCTGTTTTTTTTTTTACAGGAAGATGATTTTGTACTTTGCTTCTTCCCTCTGCAGTATCTTTGGAATTTGGTTTGTTGCGCAGTGATTAGCTTGCAGTGATGGGACCATGTACTTATTTCCAGATCTGGGATGCTATCTGCAAGGAGTTTGTATGTTTTCTCTGAGTGTGCGTGGATTTAAGCTGGGTGTTCTAGTTTCCCCTCTTAGTCCAAAGATATATTTTAGTGGTAGGTTATTTGACTGTGTGTGTTTGTCTCTCTGTGCCCAGTGATGGATTGCTGTCCTATCTGGGGTATATGCCACCATGCTCCCATTCCTTGCTGGGATAGGCTCTGGTCCCCCTGCAACCCTGAATTGGATAAAGTAGTTAGAAATGTATGGATGGTTAATAACTGGGAGATGTGCTTGCTTCAAACAGCTTGAGCTCTGGATCTCAAGCCTGGTTCCTGCCACTAAACATACAGTAGGTCATGTCATGTGACAAGTCTTATTTGCAGACAACAAGGTAGAGTTCAGGAAGAGTAGTCCAGGGCATCCATAGTTTCCATTGGGAAAATAGCAACACTTACAACTTCCTGGGTGACTGTAGGTTGGAACTGATGTCGGCCAGAGAGGCATCTTGCCTCCAATCAGTGGCGACACTCCTGTAAGGCACTGAGGAGGTTGTGGCCCGCATGTTGAAAAATAAATGGGTTGCAGGAGTTGTCACTGTAAGCTTAGATGTAAAGAAACAATTTGTGATTACAAATAAAAAAAAAAACATAAAACACTTACCTTCTTTGGCCCAGGTCTGATCTTATGAAGCTGCTTGTATGATCAGAAAGTTATTTGCATGCCTCTTGTTACATTGCAATATGCAGTGAAATAAATTTCAAAACAAATGCATCCTTTTAATCCTTTTTCAGCATGTGATTTAGACAGATTATATGTAATATGCCTTGATGTGTGGCCTTTGATTCAATATTTAACAGTATAAATTAGTTTAAATTTAAAAGGCTTCTAGGACAAACTTATATGATTATTCATCTGTGTCACAGACTTAAAGAGAACTTAAAAACATGAAATTACCCCCCCACAGCATATTTCTCCTTAGGGTGTCCATGAAAACCGTTGACAGCTAAAACTGAGACATTAGAGATTGTAATTTCTGTAGCAAGGGGAACCAATCTAGGTCACAACAGAATAGGTAAATGGACTAGTGTTTCCTGTCTGAGCCCCAGCTTGAACTGAAAACAAATGCCTGTTTGTAGTGTTAAATAAGGCTGGAAAATTCAAGCTGAGTTTATAGTTGGGTACCTGAAAGATTGCCTTTAATTAGGAAAATACTGTAAATCTGTAAGAAGCCAGCTATTCTTAGTTTGGGTTGTTAATGCATCGAGTTAAAAGAATGGTTTGTAATTAAGAGGCCCATGTTTCTTTGAAAAATGCTCATAAATGTCTCAGTTTGCAATTCCAAAATACAAGCAGCAGAGCTTTGTCTGAATCCAAGGATGGAACGCCCAGATAAAGAGCTGTTGAGTACCCATGTGACAAGTGCAACTCTCCCTGCTCCTGCTGGGATTTGATCCTGGTGGCTCGCTGGCTCGGAACACGCACAGTGGGACTCCCTGAACAGTGCATAACCTCTGCCACACCTTTGCTGTGGCTGAGGTTGACATTGTCTAGATTTCAGAGGGGGTGACTTTCACTCCTGTAACTAACTCAGCACACTGAGCCCTGTTACACCCACGTAGCGTACGTCATACTTGAGTGACTGGCTGAGGATTCGGCTGGCTCGACACCTTCTGTTCTGTGCAGGACTCGGGCAGTGATACACTGGCGCAGGAAGGCTGTCTAGTCATACCTCCGATTAACTGGCATCCACAGAGCGAAAGGATAAACCTCACTTCATTTACTCAAGCCTGGATGAGAGATTAGTCCAATTATGTGTGGAACAGGACGTGTGCAGCGGTGTCTTTTTTTACCACTTGTGAGTTGAAGGTTGAAAAAAAGGGCGTACAATATTGATAATTGGGTGCAATGTTGAATAGGTAAGAAAAAAAAAAAGGCAGCCGTGACAAAATATTAATCTTATTAATCTAATCTTAATCTAATATTTTGCCAGAGCTCGTGTGCTATTTCAGAAATAATAGGTGCGTTCACATCCTTTGCACAAATGTTTAGCCTTCATTCTATACGGTAGCTGTCCTGTGTAGACCATGTTAACACCACTTGGAAGGAGCTGGAAAACCTTTTCTTTCTTAATGTCTGATTATTAGTCTTTTTGAGGTGTTGGACCCCGTAATTTT